GGAAAAACTTACAGAATTTGGGAAAGATATGAGGTAAAATGTTAACACATTAACTGTTTTTAATTGGCTATAATATTATTACATATAATTGGTCACTAACTTGTTTATCTTGTAGGTTGTGGAAGGTAATACCAAGTGGAGGTCATTTATTTGAGACTAGGTATGAATATGATGGGTACAGGATGGATTTACATCATCATTCATGCATATACAGAATGTGGATGTTGTTTGGAATACCATGTGTTCATGGTCAGGCAACAATCAACTATTTGCACATAGATCCTCTTGAGTTTCTTTCTCCTTGGTTCCCTAAGGACAAATTGATTGCAACATATATGGATAATATATTGCCTGTTGGTGGAAGCAATCTGTGGCAAAGGACTGATTTCATCAAGCCATTACCACCCCTTTGTGAGGAGAATGCATGGGAGACTTAAAGTAAACAAAATGAAGCATGCTTCTGAGTCTCAAGACTCTAAATATCCAACTAAAAGGGAAAAATATACGTAGGACTGTCAGATGTGGAAAATGCCAACAAATTGGGCATAACAAGATTTCTTGCAAGAATGAAGAAGTTCCCAAAGATCCTATGCCAACAAGGAAGCTTGGGAGACCAAGGAAAGATGGAGTTGGTTGACCACATTTTGACCACTTCCCACCTAAAAGGAATGGAACAAGGATGGATGGTGAAGGGACAAGCACTACTCCTAACAATCTTCAACAATAATAAATTCAGCCTACATAAAATCTAGGGGATGATGTACCAATTGAAACTGGTCAAAATATACAAGATAAAGGAGGTCAAAGTGGGTAGTCAAACTGCTCACCATGAGAATGTGGCTAAGCAACTTACTCCTAATAAAAGGATAAATATGAAGGCAAAGAGGGGAGGGAAAAGCAACAACATTGGGAGAAGGGAAGAAACTGGTGTAGGGGGGACATGAGATGTGTCCCTTACTTGTGAATAATTCATTAATGGCATCTTAATAGATACACCTTATGTTGATAATAAGATGACTGAGGTTGAGGTGAAAGTGCATGATGTTGTGGTGAATGAGACTACAGATCAGGTGAAGTGAAAGATGATAGGTTTTGAGCACTATAATGTCCCTATGGTGCACATACAACCCTAATGTTTTGGATCTAAGTTTTCTCTAATTATACATGCAATTTCATTTTTCCAAAGCATGAAGCCTAACTAGCATACAACTTTGATAATTGAAACATAAAAACAAGTTAGATGATTACCTCATTGTCGTAGCTTGTAGAACTTGGCCTTACAAGAGCTTAACACCTCAAATGTGATGCCTCAAATGTTTCACAAAACACCAAGAACAGATGGATGATTATGAGAGAGAGCTTGGAGGCACCAAAAATCGGTTAGCTTCTTCTTAGGATACTCTTGTGTCTGATTTTAGGGCTTAGGGGTTACATATATAGTGTAGAATTCCAAGGATCACTTGTAAACCCTAATCCATCCACTTAGGCTTTTGATCCAATAATTCATTTGGACTAATCACTTCATGGACTCTCACATAATCTTAGTCCATCACTAATCAATCATGGATCATTAGCCCAAACTATATGTATCACTGATTTACATAATCAAACCCTGTTAATTTAATCAGTCTCATTTGATCATTAAATTAATTCCAATTTAATTCTTGATCAATACCAATTAAATAATATGATTTCTCAATTAATATATTATTCGTATAATATATTAATAAATCACAAATAACTTCTTTCTCAAATATCCTTCCTATCAAATTGCTTCGGTGAATGCAACCTAAATGGACCATGCTACTATCGGGTCAAGTACATACCAATTATAGTTATGTGCTTAGACACCTAATCCAACAAAAGAGCCTATGGATGAGGTGAATGAGCTCGAGGCTTAGGGGAATGAGCTTGAGCCTGGGGGGAATGAGGTTGAGGTGAATGACCTTAAGGTTGAGGGGAATGGGCCTGAGGTAAATGAGTTTGAGGGCATGATAAGAGACATGGTTGAATCTGGATGTCCACAAGCTGAAATTGAGTTAACCATGCAAAAGGTTTGCAATTTATGTGTCCCTTTTTAGATGTTCTTGTCATTCATATCATGATATTTGTTTGCTTACAAGTTAGAATGGAAAGACATGAGAATAAGGTTGTTTCACTGTTGAAGAGGAGGAAACATTCTGAAAGAATCATAAAGATAAATCTAAGCAAGAGTGAACCTGTTTCGTTTTCTGAGAAGAAGAGACCTTATATGAAGGACAAAATATTGTGTTTGGATTAGCATGTATGCATATTGTAGGGATAAATGGGCATAAGTATTTAGTCTGCCCCTTTTGAACACATATCCCTATATCTTTTGGATCAACATGTTTCATAGTATAGGGGTAAAACGGGCATTAGTTTTTTGTCTGCCCTTTTTGAACATATATCTTTTGGTAACAGGTTTCCAATTCATGTCCAATAAATTTGGCAGAATTGGAACCTTGGTTCTAATTGTTATTACCCCTTTGTGTAGTTATGTTGGTACTTTGGTCATACTACATTGTATTTTGTGGGATGTTATTGTTGGCTAATGATAAAATATTAGCTACTATTACCTTTGGTTGACAGTAGATAGTCTTTTTAACTTCATTATTTTGATTGTTGTTAATTGAATTTACATTGTAAAGTACACTACCATATAATGTCATTGATACATGTTTGGGAAAAATGTACAAATAATAACCATCGTAAATAACCATCATATTAATTAAGGACATTTCCCATTACATGACCTGAATTACATCACAAAACACTACTACAATGCTTACACCTAAAAAAACTACCTAAACATCAAAAGATCACCACCGCCTTCATAATAAACATTGTCATGATTAAGACCTTTTCCCAAAACATTAATGCCCACATCTTCAACCTGTTTGAACCATCACTTTGTGAACCATGAAACCCAATAAAATCACCATTACCAGAAGAAGCAGCAACATGATCACCACCAACTTCAAAAGTGTCAACATTATTCTCTGACATTCTTTTGCTTCATTTGCTTGTTCCAACTCAACATACAACTTCCACATTGTTTCCTTGTAGTGATTATTTGGCAGTGGTGGATCAAGCCACAAGAAAAAATCACATTTTTTTTGTTCTGCACAGTGTCAAAAACGATTTGTCTTTTCCTTAGCTCTTAGTTTAATAGCAACAAAATCACAAAAATCATGTCATTTTCACCTGATAGCTAGGACACCCTCGAAATTTTCTGTCAGAATTTTCATCTATATTGGAGACGAAGAAAGTGTCGATTTCATCACAAGTACACCTAAGCTCTTTAGACCACCGATTCCTTGATGCCCATGCTCTGTACAACCCAAAATTTGAAGATGAAACCATGCTTTACCAGTGGGAGAGAGGGAAGGAAGAGTGTGCGTGACCTGCTACTATCTCTCAAACGTTCATAAATAAGATTTGAAACCTTAATGACCGGAACAGATTCAGTTTTACATAGGAAAGGGTGGATTCAAAACTAAACATAAGTGCTTTTAATATCTTGATAACATTCGTTATTAGTTAAGTGTTTGTTAGTTTTAAGTTAATATGAACTTGCAAAATCATATACCCCCCCACTTTAGTTAATTGATTTTAGATTATTTTTTAGTAATTCTTTTAATAAACTGAATCCGTTCCCTGTGTTCGAAACCCAATTTACTTTACTATACTATAAACTGACTAGGTACACTGCCTATAGGTGCATTAGTAGATAAGTAGTTAGGTTATAAATTTAAAGCTAGATAGGTATAATCTGCATCACATCACGTATCAAACGCAAATGGTATGAGCACGTGTTGATTTCCAAGCATGATTTCTCAGGTTTTGTGACTTTGCATGTGACAACTTTTAAATCATCATGTCCCACCTTGAAACCCCCAACCCTCAAACCCACGCGAGGGGATACCCCTATAAGGTCCACATAAACGTGTTTCCCTCCAACCCATCCAAAAACCAAAACATCAGCTGACCTAAGGGTTGACATTCGCCAGTCAAGAAATTCACAAGTGCCTCTTTCTTAGCGGAAACTCCGGCACGCTTAAATATGTCAAATAAAACATCCCTAACCATATCGTGTCGATATTTGAACCCCTGGAGTTCTTTACAATGATCCACATGCTCTCTAAAAGAGTCCAAACATGCCTTTCGACACACTTGACACATCTCGCCAGCTTGAAATATAGGAATCATGATTCCGATATTTAAGGATAGTGCGATACTCCACAGGAGATATATGTTGGCCAAGCCCATCTATATGGATAACTAGAAACATCAGCCGGTCTAAGAGTTTGAACCCCAAGAGTTATTTACAATGGTATGAACACATGTTGATTTTCCAAACACAATTTCTCATATTTCATGACTTTGCATGTGGCAACTTTTAAAGCAATATGTCCCGCCTTGAAACCCCAACCCTCAAACTCACGAGAGGGGATACCCCTGTAAGGTCCACATAAGTATGTTTCCCTCCAACCCATCCAAAAACCAAAACATCAGTCGGTCTAAGGGTTGACATTCATTCTGTCGGGTCAGTCAAGAAATTCACAGGTGTTTTTTTCTTAGCGGAAACCCCGACACGCTTAAATATGTCAAACAAAATATCCATAACCATATCGTGTCGGTATTTGAACTTCAAGAGTTCTTTACAATGAATCACATGCTCTCCAAAAGAGTCCAAACATGCCTTACAACACATCAGACACATCTTGTCATCTGGAAATATAGGAATCATGAGCCGATATTTAAGGATAGTGCGATACTCCACATGAGACATATGTTGGCCAAACTTGGAGATAGCCCGAAGAAAATATAAATAATTTTTAAAGTATGAATTTCTACAATATATTTTGAATGTAAAATGTAAAATACGTTCTAGGGCATAGTTTCTCAAAAATTCCTATCTAATTAGAGCGAACAAATTGAGACCGGGACTAAATTAGGAATTTCTGGAGATTAGATCACTTTATGTAGTTGGGGGAAAGGGAAAGGGTCAGTTTTATTCTCAAGGGCTGAAGGATCAAACATCGTATCATCGCTCGTAGTTTATAGTGTGAGTTTGAAATTGAGATTGAGATTGAGATTGCGATCAAGTATCATGCAGGAAGGGAACTGGAATAATCCCACCACCATGCCCGACTTACAAATATCTCCTGCTGGTCCGCATGGCGGAAGTCCAGGTAAGGATCAACAGGCGGCAGGGGTAGGCATTCTTCTTCAGATAATGATGCTCGTCCTTTCATTCATTCTTGGACATGTCTTGCGGCGTCATAGATTCTATTATCTTCCTGAAGCAAGCGCCTCCCTTTTGATCGGTAAACCATGCTCATATAATCCCGTATTCCTTTTATACTCATCCTGCTTTAGTTCAATTTCTTCGATTTTATTGCCTTTCTTGTATCTTCAGCAATTTCCCTGTGATTTCGTACAAACTTGAGTTTCTTCTTAGTTCCAGAGTCATCTATGTGATGATGATCATGATTTCACGTTGGTTTTGACAGGGTTAATCGTTGGTGGACTTGCGAATATCTCGAATACCGAAACTAGTATCAGGTTCTTGAATGCTTTTTAGCTTCATGGTACCTCTCTTAGTTTGTTGAACATAGTACAACTAACTGTTGCAGTTCGATTTACCTTCTTCCCTTTCTACTGCAGGGCCTGGTTTAATTTCCATGAGGAGTTCTTCTTCCTCTTTTTGTTGCCCCCCATCATATTATATCCTTCGTCAATCTCCTTAATGATTTATTATTCTTTATCATCTGTTTTATTAATCAAAAGGGGTTGTCTAGTTATTTCCTTGACCATTCATGTGTACCCAATCAGGATTCAGTTTGGCACCTGTAAGTTATTATGATTGTTGTCTAAGCCCCACATTCTGTTATTACACATATTAACTGTTGGCGTTTTTTCAGAAACCATTCTTTTCAAACTTTGGAGCCATTGTGACATTTGCAATATTGGGAACTTTTATTGCTTCAATTGTTACAGGTCTTTTGGTGTGAGTATTCCTTTTTTATCAGTAAAATGATGTTGATGAACATAAACTTATGTTAACTGCCTTCACGTTTGATGTTACAGGTACCTTGGTGGTGTAATGTATCTCATGTACAGACTTCCATTGGTTGAATGTCTGATGTTCGGTGCCCTTATTTCAGCAACAGATCCTGTCACTGTTCTCTCCATTTTTCAGGTTAAATTTTGGTGTAGAGTGAATTCCTTTTTTCATTAATATTCTAGTCTTTTATCAGTATTGATTTACAAGAATAATTCAGTAGGTGTATGTGTGCTTGTTCTTCTCTTCCATTTCTAGATGAAGAAATCAAGGGTTCTTACTTCTTAGCACTCAATGCTAGGGATTTAAAAGGGATATCATACATTTTTTCTTATTGTAATATCAATACATCATTTTTGTGACTTGGTCATGAAATGATTGGTTGTTTTTATTTATTTTCCATTATTATATGTGTATTGATCTGCTTGATTTGTTTTTTATTCAGTCGATAGCTTATTTAGGGGAAATTTGGATATATCTTATATTTAATCTTTCCATAAGTAGTTGAAAAGATACATACATGATGTTTTGTAGGCCCAAATTGCCTTTAGTAGTTACAAATACTTCAATTGATTTGTTCATTATTGCATCTTACTTTCATTTCTTTTTGTCACAACATTTTTCTTTGAAAAATCTACCTAGTTGTATCAATGCCATCTAAACACAAACTAATTTTCACTGGCATAATTGAGTAGCTTTTCCAAAGTATAATGTACTCATAATAAAATAAATGAAAGTACAAAGTTACAACTGGATGGATTATTCATAGAACAAGGACTTAATAAAAAAAATGAAATTACAATGACTTAATAAGAAGTTTTTTTGAAAGTACAATGTATAATTGGATTGATTATTCATCTCCTTTTGGTAAGAAAGACCAAAAGTTCCTTTTTGTATTCCCATTCTTATATCTTTGTGAATTTATGGTCATTATTTGCTATGAAAACTGTAGGAGCTTGGCTCAGACATGAATCTTTATGCATTGGTTTTTGGTGAATCGGTTTTAAATGATGCGGTAAGTTTTATCTTGATTTTAATTATCCCATTCCCATATTATTTGTACATATTTATACTTATATCAATTTTTTTTTCTTTGGTCCATGTTCTTTTATATTTTGCTCAACTTCAAAGATGGCAATTTCCCTATACAGGTTTGCATTACTCCAGTTCTACTTTCCGACAATATTTGATACACAGGACAGGATATACTTCTAGGGATTTTTTCAATGATGAGGATGAAAAGGGCATTTTCGTCTTTTGCACATATGAGAGATCCATGTCTTCCCTTGTTCCACTTATATGGGTGGACAAAAAAATTTCAGTTTTTATCCCAATGACATTAGTCAGTCCTGTTTGTCCCCTTAAGCAGCCTCAATATACACTGAGACACATTTATATTATGCAATAAGAAAAATTGAATACATAAACTGATAGAATTCATTTTTTAGGACAATGTCATTGGTGAGGAGTAATTCATCTGAGCAAAATTTCTTTTTGATAGTCGTGAGGTTTCTTGAGACTTTTGTTGGTTCCATGTCAGCAGGTTAGTTTAATGTCGGCTTATGCTTTTTTTTTTTTTTGCTGCAAATAAATTTGAATTTATTACATATGCTATTATTGACCTTCTGTGATAAGAAAATGCCAAACTTTAATATCTCTGACTTTCACCTTTAAGTTGTTGTTTCCGCATTAAGTCCAAAAGAAACACCCACATATAATATATAATATATAATATATAATATATAATATATCTATCATTGTGTATTATTTTTCAGTATTGGTTTTGATTCGTTGAGTTACTCAGATAGTTTTATTCTTGTGTGACAGGTGTTGGAGTTGGGTTCACATCGGCTTTGATATCCTTTAATAGTGATTGTTGTTGTAAATATTAGGTACAAATTTCTCTTGTTTGTTATAAACCTTAACTGCAGGAAACCTATTCAAGTATGCAGGTTTGGACATTGATAAGTAAGTTGGCTTCTTTTCTTATATAACTCAATCTAAAAAAATTGTATCATCTTTTACACTCATACTGACTTTGGAACATATAATTCATGATTTTCAGCCTACAGAACTTGGAATGCTGTCTGTTTGTTCTTTTTCCATACTTCTCGTGAGCTCCCTAAACCCTAAATCCTAATTGCATTTACAGAATGTTTTACTCTCTTAATGATATGAATTTTAGGTACATGTTAGCAGAAGGTCTTGGTCTCTCTGGTATTGTGTCAATTCTGTTCACTGGGATGGTTAGTATATACATATACATATGGTTTTGGCTGCAATTATCTGTTCTGTTTTTTTTTTTATTTTTTTTTTTATTTTTATTAAGGATTTTTAGTGAATATATCGGTGTCTTTTTTTGTTTATGGGGGTAGGTTATGAAGCATTATTCCTTCTCAAACTTGTCAGAAAATTCTCAAAGATTTGTGTCTGCTTTTTTCCACTTGATATCATCTTTAGCCGAGACATTTGTGTAAGGAAGCCTCTTTTATTTCTCTTATTTTTAAACATGTATTTAGTTTGTTGGTTTTTGTGCAGATTCATATATATGGGTTTTGATATTGCTATGGAGCAGCATAGCTGGTCCCACGTGGGATTCATCTTCTTTTCTATTGTATCCTTGAGTTGTTTGTCAGAATGTGTCATTAGGATCAAAATCTCTTTCACAATCTGCAATACAGTTAAAAAACATCATTATTTGATATTATTAGTACATTATAAATATAAAATTACAAATACAATGATCAACTTTAATTTATAATTATAACGTGTATTATGAATAATGAAGTAGTTGATGTGGCAATCAGACAGCTGATGTAATGCCAACACAAATGAAAGGATCTTGTTATTTCATTAATTATTCTATTTGGTTCACTTACGCATTGTAATTTTTTTTTCTTAACTCACTCCTTGATTGCCCTAGATATTCATCGGATTAGCAAGGTATGCCTAAAGGAATCTCTTAGGATTTAAATGGGCAAAATACAGAAATAATTTTTTTTTTTTTTTTAATCTGGAAACACCTTTAGCTTTATGATGTAAATAGTTTCAATGCTATAAAATAGTTAATAATTAATTGTTTTTTTATGTTGTGAAGGGCTGCAAATGTCTTCACTTGTGCATATTTGTTGAATTTGGTTCGACCTGCACAGCGACAAATACCTGTAAAACACCAGAAAGCACTTTGGTACAGTGGTAAGCATAGAAAAAGTTGCTAAACTTTTATAAGATTTTATTTTACTGAGTTATTATGAATATTTATATTTATATATGATAATATGATGAATCAGGACTTAGAGGGGCAATGGCTTTTGCACTTGCTTTGCAATCAGTTCATGATCTCCCAGAAGGACATGGTCAGACCATATTTACTGCAACCACTGCAATAGTCGTCTTAACGGTAGCCAACTCAACTCATTTTAATTTAATTTCATATATTATATTATTAAAATATAAATGCAAAAAATAGCTGCACACTCACACTTTTATTTCTTTGTTTATTGTAACATTCTACTTTCAATTCTTCCTATTACAACATTTCATTTCTTATTTAGGTATTGTATTGTGAAACATATCCTCAATTAGAGGAGCATTGTACTTTCATTTTTTTTCTTATCAGACTTTAAGAAATCTACCCATAATTGTGAAAATTGCTTTATATTTTTTCAAATTACTATTATATTTTATGTTTATAGGCTCTACAAATAACAGTTCACATTCTTTCAACTGTAAAATCATCTTTAACCTTTCCCTTTCAATTGTTTTTTGACTTTGCTTTTTAAGTATTGATTACTTTGTAGTATCTCTTTGGATTAAATTGTGGAATACATAAAATAGACACACTTAAGTGTTATTTGTTTTTTGCTTAATGTACTTAATGGGGCGGGACTTAATCTGGTGTTTCTTTTTGAATTCATACAGAAAGAAGTTAATACAGAAAGTCTTTCTTTCGCCATATCTTAAATAATCATTTATCCAGTCAACACTTTATGCAGACAATTAATAGAAACATTGCTTCTGACATTGTAATTGAAAATGCAGGTGTTGCTTATTGGAGGCTCAACAGGTACTATGCTCGAAGCTTTACAAGTTATAGGAGGAGATACACATGATGGCCACTTGAGTGATGTGAGTATTGCTTTTTATAAATTCTTCTTTCATGGAGTGTATATAATTTTTTTAAAATTCAAGTGAGCTCCAAAGTTTATACAAAAAAGATTTAACCTCCTTACATTTTTTTTTTCTTCCAAAATACCAACAGGGTTAAATGCAAGAAGTAGCAATATACTTTTATTGATTTGTTTACTATATATCATCATCCTACTTTTATTTCTTCCTATTAGCTACTGTATTAAATATATAATGATGATTGAATAAGATTATAATTTGATTTGGTTCCAGAGCTTTGAAGCTAATAATGGCTACGTGGCTCCATTTGATGGAGAGCCATCATCCGGTAACAGACTAAAGATGAGACTTAAAGAATTTCACAGAAGGTCGTGCTCGTGGGCCCCGCCTTTTATTTTTTTAATTTTTTTATCATTTTTTAAATTTTTTCTAATGTTTTTTTATTTATTTGTTTGACGCAGTGCTGCATCTTTCCGTGCATTAGACAGGAACTACCTTACCCCATTTTTCACCACTCAATCTGGAGATCGAGATGACAATGATGATAGCCATGGTAAGGGCCACTTTTTTTTTTTTTTTTTTTTTTTTTTGACCTTTTCTATTAAAAAAAAAAAAACAAGTATAAAATAAATAAGTTTATCAAGTTAGATATAGAAGGAATATGCAGTAAAATACAAAGTATTAATAAGAGATTTGTAGGTTGATTTAGGTGTATGAAAATGAAGATTTAATAAATGTTTGAGAAATTTTGTACTTGTAGCGGAAGATTCACTGCTGAGGTCTAGAAGAGAAGGCTTCCATTAGCAGAGGAGTATAGCACAATTTATATTTTGATGATTTGAATCCTAGAATTCTACGAAATCTCAAAGTGTTAGGGGTAGTAGGCAGATATGATTAGCATATAAAACTTATATGTACATGATGATTATACTAGATTAACAAGTGGAGATGTTGTTTACTTTACTTTACTTTACTTGCATGGATCAAAATTGCTTATATTGTTTTAATTTCCCATATCAATTTCTATGCATACTTTTAAGAAATGGATGCTGTAATTATATCTGATTGATGATGCATGAACGTGAGATATATTTTATGTTGCGAGTTTAAATAATAAATTGATGATCACTGACAAATTATTTGGGTATAACGAAATGGTTATAACCTACAACTGTCGGTAGTAGTTGACTAGTTGTAAATAAATGACAAAATGAAGCACATATAAAATTAAAGAAAAAGAAGTAATTTTAAAAAATACTTAGTAAACTTTGCCGCTGACCACTCAACAGTTTTATGTTGCATCCCTTTCAAGACATGGGATTGATTTTTATAGAATATATATTGTATAAGGTGTTAAGTCAATTGATCTAAAAACCATGACCTCATTACGATTTTTAGCTCATGTTTGTGTATGGTGCATAATTAAAAAGACAAATAGTACCCAGAAATGAAACCTTGCCGCCATTGGAGGTCTAATAGTGTCTGATTTTGGTATAAGTCGTTGATGGAGAGCATATCAAGGACTTCGAGAGTCTTCATGGATTAGTGGGACAAGGATAAAACAAATCTAACGATGCTAACTTTAAACAATCATAACTTTAATCCATTGGGTGTTTCATTGCCTACTCTACATGGATGACAAGAGCTCTCAATAAGGTGAAGCTCTTGACAAACCCCCGAAAGTGGTTCACCCACCCATCATCCCTAATTTAAGTTGTTTTGCGCATCAACTTTGATTTCTCCAAATTTACAATATTCTACGATAAAAAATTAAATATCTTTCTACTTATTCTTGTTACTCATTCTCCTATCATTTTTAGATAATGACACATGTAATAAAAATTTATTAATTTTATTAAATATGACAAATATCACAATATTAAATGTGTAGGAATATGGAATAGAAAAAAAAGTAGGAAGCTATTTGATTTCTCTTTCTACAATTTGATTTTATTATTCTTTAGTGGTTCATCACATGAAATCAATGACTTCTATTAAATACATGATTGATTATGTAATTAATTTGATTAGATAACAACCAATTTCCTTTCTTCTTCATCTTATTTATTTATTTCTTCTTCATCTTATTTATTCAGCATGCTTGCTAACTTTAGCTTAGTCATATTTAAAGAGTTGATTTAATGATCATCTTGGAAATAGTTAACATTCATCCTTTTGGATTTCCTTGAACAATTCTTATTCTTTACTTCCGTTCCGTGTCAGTTTGTATCAAAGCTCATTAGCATCTTGATGATGAACGACATTGAATATGTTCCACAATCAAATCCTAATCGTTGGGTCACATAGTTAAAGACCTATGACGTGTAGTAGACAATATCGTCGTAAAACTTGAAAAACTATGTGTCGTGATTGTATGTGGTCGAAATGACTATCAAATCATGAGAGTGGAAACCACAGGACCAATCATCGACAACAGGTTAACAATCATGATGGTAGTAGAACAAGAGGAGACTATATACCCATAGTCAATAACATAGGGGTCATCTACGTAGCTGACTTTTCTGACGATGATGAGGATAAACATCTTGATGGAAAACATGGTAGAGACATGCATAATGGACATGGAGGTGGCTACCACATCAAGGTTGAGATAACCCAATTTCAACGGGAATCTTAATCTCGAGGGATCTCAATTGTTATAAGAGATTGAGATTTTTTTTTATATTAGGGACATTCTAGAGGATCAGTAAGTGAAGGTTGTAACCTACAAGCTCATTGGAACATGAGATTCATGGGATCATGTCTAGGAGGGACGAATGCAACAAGGGAGGTGTCTGGTGCTAGAGTGGTATCACATGACTTTGTTGATCAAGAAGAGATTATAAGCATTTTCTCTACCAATAATACCATTACTACAACCAACAAATTTAACTAGTTTCGGAATACACGACAAAGTTTATGTGACTTCAATATAGAAACGATTTGAAAGAGATCGATGAATAACAAGCATCCTGTACATCAATGGCCTAAACTATAACATCCAAGATCGTATAGATTTACATCCAACTTGGTATGTTGATTAGGCCCAAAATTTGAATTTAAGAGAATATAGGTTAATTTCTAGAGCCACATAAACTTCACGACGCTCACCAAGCACGATGCCGTATTCGAGTAACAATCATTATCTCACGCCAACTAAAATCTAACCAACAATCTGAATCGAACATCCATAACTCATAAAAAACTGAAATAGAAAGTGGATGTTGCATTAAAAGGGACAACATTGGTCAGGCCCCCAAGCTTGTTAATAACCGTATATGCCAAACCCTGAGCATTAAAGTGATACAAATTTGGTGAAAAAGTTCACAAATCCAATGAGTGTCCCAAGCATCAACAAGCCCTTCTAGTATATTTTGATGATGAAGTTTATGAAGCTATTGAAGTTGAAGAGTTTTGCGAGGACATGGATGAGTATGCAAATTTTGAGGGTGAACTTGTGGTATTCTTTTTTCAAAGGATACCGTGCTTTCAAAATGTCTAAAATAATTACATTGCAACAAGATCTTTCGGTACAAATTCTTCGTCAACAAAAAGCTATGTACATTAATTATAAATAGTTTAAGTTGTGAAAACCTAGTTTCAAAGGTCTTGGCTAGTAACCTGAAGCTACCCAGGAAACCATACATAAGCCATATTGATAAAACTAGGAAATGCTCTAAGTCAAATGACTATGAAAGTAAGTATGAAATATATAACTTAACAACTGATATATAGAACAATAATGAAAGATGTAACGTCCCGAAATTATGAGGTAAAAATTTCATTTTTAATTCAACCAAAACATTAATTATCTTTAAGTCAACATTCTTTATCCTTTTTCTAAATATTCAAAAGTACTTTATAAGAAAACAATTATCAGAGTACAATCCCAAAATCAACATAATGTGGAAACATGGGTGGATGCGCTGTGATCAAGTCGGTCCCTTCCCTTTCGAACCGGAAGTACCTGAAACCATAAACATAAAAACTGTAAGCACAAAACTTAGTGAGTTTCCCAAAATACTGCATACCATACATACTATTGGGCCTAGCCCTCACATTGGGCCCAACCCACCATAATGGGCCTAGCCCGATCAAACAAATGCAAAAGTCACAAAGACAGTTAGCACCTACATAACATACAATGGGCCTAGCCCAACATACAAATGGGCCTAGCTCGTCATACAAATGGGCCTAGCCCGACATACAATGGGTCTAACCCAACATACAAATGGGCCTAGCCTAACATACCATGCAAGAGTCACAAAGACAGCTAGCATAATAGAACCTAGTGGGCCGACATTGGTGCCTTCGACCCACGAGTACAGTGAGGAGACTCACCTCAATCCGCTGATAATCAAATAACTACTCGGGTCGCTGAACCGAATAACTTCGCGCCAACTAACAATAAATACAATCTTAATCAAAAATTATCCCGATAACTCAAAATCCAAGGCCCACTCCATAAACCAACTTCCTAAAGGGTAAAAGACCATTTTACCCTTTTCTTACTTGTCCCAAAACCAAGGCCTAGCCCAAATGCACAAAAAGCCCAAATCCCAAAATGGCAACCTAAAGCCTAATATGGCCCAACTTCCTAATTGGGCCCAAAAACTATCATGGGACCAATACCAAGAAAGCCCACAGTCTAACCATAGCCCAAAGTTAGAAGTCCAATGGCCCAACAAGGCCCAAATCCAAAAGGCCCAAAATAGCCATCCTGGGGAGTACGCCCTGCGTACTCAAGACGTGCTCCCCGTGTACTCAGCCATGAAGCACGATGTACAAACGGTTGATGCGTAATCACCCATTACGCCAAGCGTACTCCTGTGTACGCCCAGTGTACTCCTAAGAAAGCCAAAAGTCTCAAAAAGCTCTTAATGGGTTATGCCAAGTTGTCCAAAACATAGATCTGATCCCTAGGAAAGGTCTTAAACAATAAAGTTACCAAGTTTACTCTCTTACATGCCTTAATGGGACTCAACACTTAAAAAAGGAGCTTAATAAAGGTCTTAATGCTTGCAAGGACCAACAACTTCTATAAAGTTGTCATTTTTATGAACATGGGGACCAAATGGAGACAAGATCTAGCATCCATAGCTTTTGGAGCAGATCAAAGGCTCACCTTTAACTCAAAAGTCTCCAAAAGTGCAAAAAATACACCAAAGCTAGATCTAACACCAAAGACCACCAAAGCCTTTGACCCGTAAGTACACTGAGGAAAACTCACCTCGCAAACTAAACAGAACTGATGAGGCCCAACTCCGAATCTCAGCTCTCTACACAATACCTATATCCACCAAGTGACCAATTCCATCAAAATCCCAAAATACCCAAAATGCCCTCAAAGTCAAAATTGGTCAAAGTCCAAGTCAACTGGTTAAACCCAATAAACCAACTGAGTCAATCCAATTGAGTCAACTCAAACGAGTCAACTCAACACGGGTTGACTCATGCGAGTACGCGAGGTATAACTCAGAGGTACGCTTAGCGTACACAAAGCCTCACATTGACCAGCTTACGGGGTGGCTGATCAAGTACGCGGGGCGTAACCTCGCAACCTTAAAACTTCATTAAGAGCTTAATGGCTTAAGCACTCAAGCCCATACTTCAGATCTACGGTCCAAATACATCCTAGAGTCATAAAGTTTCCAACTTTATGACTTTACACGTCCATAAAGTCCTTAACACAATGTGTTAACCCATTAAGATCTTATACAAGATGCATGAGAAAATTCTAGCCATTGGGACCACATTTTTATGGCTTAGGACCCTTCCTAGGGTCTGGAAGGACAGCTCAAAACGACAATAATCAACCATGCACAAAATGGGACCTTTGGGACAAGAAAAGCAACATAAAACACCCAAAAATGGGATCTAACAACCAATACATCAAAGTATAGACTTTATACCTTCTGGAGCTTCTTAAGAAGACAAAGATCCCAGATCCACAAGCTAGCTTCCACTTCAAGGCTTCTTGATGCAACTTTTTCTTCCTTTAACACACCAAAAACACACTCTTGAGCTCAAAACACACACTAAGGGGCTAGGGTTTTGCAAACACGTCTCAAAGGATGTGGAGCCTGAAAAGGTGGAGAGAAATGAGCCATAAGGATGCTTAAATACCACCCAAACCCTAAAATTTAGGGTTTCCTCCAGACATGAGTACGCCCAGCGTACTAGGGTGCGCCCTAGTACGCTCAGCGTACCCTCATGTACGCTTAGCGTACTCCTCCTACCCAAAATTACCATATTGCCACTAGGGCTTCAAGGCACAATCTCTTGGAGTTAGGGACCAAAATGTCATATAATAAAATTATAGGGATGAATTTGGAAGTACCTGAACCTCGGGGTTTTACAGAATGAGCGCTTGAATTACATAGGGAGACCGATTGTGATCCTAGACAATAAGACGAAGACTTTACGGAATAAGGTTGTGAGTCTAGTGAAGGTGAAATGGCAGCACCAGAAGGGTTCAGAGTGGACGTGGGAGCTTGAGGAGGAGATGCGAAACCATTACCCAGAGTTATTTGCATCAACGGACTTCGAGGACGAAGTGTGATTCAAGTGGGGGAGAATTGTAACCCCGGTTCCCAGGTAGATTCCTTTAATTTCTAAGTGTTTAATTATTTTTGCTAAGGTGGCCATTATTATGGGCGTAATTGAGGTACGCAGGGCGTACCTCGTCGAGAGTTGGACATGGGGTTTCCCCTTGGTACGTTGGGCGTACTCGAGTCAGGGGAAAACCCTAATTTTTAGGTTTTGGACCCTATAAAACCTCATTAACTCCCTTGAGGCTGACATGATCCTCAACCTCCATCCTCTAAGAAGTTTACCTTGAAACCCTAGCCCCTTTTTAGGAAGTATTGATCCGTTTGTGTGTTTTTGGTGCATCTTGAAGAAAGAAAAACCCTTTGGAGAAGCACTTTTTGATTTGAAGCTTGTAGATCTAGACCTTGCTCACCTTGACCATTCTTCTGGAGGTATAAAGTCTTAAACTTGTTGATTCATCTCTTAGATCTAGTTAGTTTAGGTTTTTTTGGCATATTTTGGTCCCTTGGGTTGATTTATGTGAGTATAAGTTACTCCAGAAGCTTAGGATAGTAGATCTTGATGTTTCTAAAGTCCCTAATGCATAAAAATATCATCTTGATGGATTTAGCTTAACCATGCATGAGTTTATGGTTATAATGTGAGGTTAGAATGTTAGGAATGGGTTTTGGGTCTCTTTAAGCCATGCAAAGGCTTTAAGTTGACTTTATCATTTAAGACATTCCCAAGAGCAATCTCTGTGATTTGGACGTTTGGGCTTAATGCATTAAGTGCTTAAGTACACTGGGCGTAAATTGGAGTACGCTCATCGTAACGCGAGTCGGCCCTGTTTCCCCTTCGTTGTTGGAGCTTGTACGTCGGGCTTAAGAGGACGGTACGCCTAGCGTACTCAACAAAAGATATTTGTGCCATTATTTGGGCCTTGGGTATTTATGGCTTTGGGCCATTGTTGGGCCTTAGGTCTTTATGGGTTTGGGTCATTGTTGGGCCTTAGGTCTTTATGAGTTTGGGCCATGGTTAGATGGGTCGAATAAGAGAAGGGTAAAATGGCCATTTACCATTATCATGTTAGATTATAATCTGGACCTTTTATTATGGGTTATTACCCTGATTATGTATTAGGGTCAATTCTGGATATGTTCAGTGTGAGGAGCCGTGATAGCAGCGGCCCGAGAGTAATTTGTTCATCTTCACATTGAGGTGACTCCTCACTGTACTTGTGGGTCGAAGGCACCAATGTCGGCCTACTAGGTTATGTTGTAGAATAGTAGTGGTCTTTGTGACACTTCCTGGTATTCCTGCATGTGCTTGCTGTCTTCGTGACTCTTGATAATATGACTGTATGCTTAGCTATAGGGTGAAATAGACCCGTACCGGTTGAAAGATACCGAAGGAGTCGGAAGGGACTCATGGAGTCGGAAGGGACTCAAGGGCGAAATAGACCCGTATTTGTTAGAGGATGATATGTATGTTTGGTATGTGGTATTTGGGAAACTCTCTATGCTTTGTGCTTACGGTTTAATTTTATGTTTCAGGTACTTCTTGTTCGAAGGTGAAGGACCCGACCTGATCGCAGCGTATCCACGCGTGTGTAGCATTTTTATGATTTTGGAATTGTACTTTGATAACTATTTTCTTATTGGCATACTTTTGATGGTTGATATGAATATTTGATAGATTTTGGTTGAATTAAAATTGTAATTTGTATTCATGATTTTTGGGACGTTACACTACCTATGCCACCATCCTCCCTCCATCGAAAAACTGAAAACCACCGCTATTTTCGAATCTGCACACACCACTGGAACCACCTTCCATTCGCCATCAAACACTGCCAACCACCACTGTCTTCCGATCACTCTAGTTTCCGCTGCTAACAACATCTTAGTCATAAAACCTATTCGCCATTGCTGCCACCATCACCTCTAGCCGCCCCATGTTGTGTGTTTTTATTTCAGATGGTGGTGGTGGTGGCATCACCGCCTCTCTTGTGTTTATCGTAAGGGAGAGATGAGGGGGCTATGGTGGTTGCTTCTGGTGGTGGCAGGGGCTATGGTGAAATCGAAAGGGAGAGATAAGGGGGTTTTGTTTTTTGGAAGACAGTGGTGTTAATTTGGTGGTGGAGGGAAGGCGGTTCAAATTGTGTGTGCAGATTCGAAAATGGTAGCGATTTGTTGTGGTCCGACGGAGGACAGTTGCGTAGGTAGGTAATCGGCCAAGGGGGTGACGGTTGCTTATGGTGGTGGAAGTGAGGCATATTATGGTGGTGGTTACATGTTGTAGGCAAGGGTGACATTTTGTAGGTTAAAAATGGTTGAATGGAAAAAATGAACAAATATTTTCAAATATTAGGTATTAACACATAAAAAATAGTCATATCAACGAAACTTGAAAAACTTTAACTTTTATGTTAATAACATTCTTTTAAAAGTTATTCATAAGGGGGTTTTAATGGGCTTATGGAGGGTTTTTTTTTTTTTTTTTTTTTTAACTTACTCTTTATTAACTATAATATTTTTACCATATTTTAAATGCTAATTCCAAATTTACTTTTGTTTGTAACATTTTTTTTTATATTTACCAACTTAAGGTATTAATCTAATTCATCGTATACTCGAGATAGATCGTATCCTCGGATTTGTTGAAATTCTAGAATTTTATTTTATACTTTTTTATTTACATGTATATTTTTAATCTTTGTAATTTTTATAATATTTGTCTTATGTGAGTATTGTTTAAGCTTATTTACTCAATCTATTAAATTATATAACAATACAAACTTTTATTTTGAACAAATGATAAATGATCTCGAAGATTACTTTAAAATCTCATAGTGATGGACATTTGCCCTCCATAACTAGACATTTGTCCTCCATAATTATATTTAAAAGAATGACATATGAATATATAATTTTCAATAATTTAAAAATACAGTGATTATATACCCACAAAAGAATTAGGCGATCTTCTAAAATTTAGTTATGATAAAATTTGAAAGTCTGGTCTACGAATATGAGAAATTCATGATAACATTGTGAATGTGATATAAGACGCAAAAAATTGCAATTAAACATAAATAACCGAAAAACTTTTATTTATTATTTACTTTAATTTAATAAAATGTATTACATATTTGTTTTATAATATTGAATAATTTTTCTGCGATGTTCTCTTATTTCATTTTACATTTCCACATCTAGTTTCAATTGTAAACTAGTTTTTCAACTAATCACCTAATAAACATATCCTAAAACTTGTTTGTGTTAAATAGATAAACTATACGTGTAGTATGTAGATAAAAGAGTTAGAATCAATGGATAAATGGTTAAAAAGAAAGCATGGTCGTTATAAGAAGCATATTTGGGAAGAGAGAGAAAACCAATGATGAAAGAGAGACACACAAACATTATATACATCCACAGCCATAGGATTGGATTGGATTGGATGATAGGCTTATCTGTGATCACCAAGCTCATCCACACTTCATTTTAACACTATAAGCATACAACCCCTAACCTTCTAGCTCCTGCACACAACCATGGCTTCTACAGCCTTCTCCATGGCCAATGCTTCTCTCCAGGTTATTATAACTTTATAATCCATCTTCTTATTAACATCAAATCATATATATCCCACCTTCTTTCTTTCCTTCTTTTTCTTATAATAAACTTTTGCAGGTCAATGGTAAGGGCTTCTCGGAGTTCGCCGGCCTTCGCAGCTCATCTGCATCTCTTCCTTTCGGAAGGAAAGGTTCCGATGATTTCGTCTCAATGGTTGCCTTCCAGACAACTCTTGTAAGTGCCTCGATCATACTGGCCTGTTTCAAACTTCATTCTTGAATTCGAATGCTAGGTAGTATCAAGTATATATGTGTGGTTTTGGATGAAACTTGTTCAATATATACATGTCTGAATTAAGTTTTAGATCATGGAATATAACATTATTGTGTATCCTCTTAGCCATATTTTTAAGGGTATAACGTACGTATGAAAAAAAAAAGATAGTAAGGAAGCATTTATATATGGGTGTTGATCAGGTGGGTGGAAGCAAGACTCCTAAGGGAGTGACGGAAGCAAAACTGAAGGTGGCAATCAACGGATTCGGGCGTATCGGAAGGAATTTCTTGAGGTGTTGGCATGGCAGGAAGGATTCACCTTTGGATGTCATCGCCATTAACGACACCGGCGGTGTCAAACAAGCATCCCACCTTCTCAAGTACGATTCCACTCTCGGCATCTTTGGCGCTGAAGTCAAACCTTCCGGCGACAACGCCATTTCCGTTGACGGCAAGATCATCAAAGTCGTTTCCAGCCGCAACCCCTCCGACCTCCCATGGGCGTACGTTCTTTTTTCTATAAATTAACTACTTATTAATGTTGCAGGTAATTATTTGAGGAACTGAGTGTATGAATGCAGGGAATTGGGCATTGATTTGGTAATCGAAGGAACCGGAGTTTTTGTCGACAGAGATGGAGCTGGGAAGCATCTTCAGGCCGGAGCCAAGAAGGTTCTAATCACTGCGCCTGGAAAAGGTGACATTCCTACTTATGTCGTCGGAGTCAACGCCGAACTTTACAGCCATTCGGACACGATCATCAGCAACGCCTCCTGCACCACTAACTGCCTCGCTCCTTTCGTCAAAGTCATTGACCAAAAATTCGGTAATTCCCTTTCCGATCATCATCATCCGTCGTATAATTAAGTTTCCTGTTGTAAAATGTAAACAAAGATATGGTACCTTGACAGGAATCATAAAGGGAACAATGACCACAACTCACTCCTACACCGGAGACCAAAGGCTGCTCGACGCCAGCCACCGTGACCTCCGACGTGCAAGAGCTGCAGCACTGAACATCGTCCCAACATCCACCGGAGCAGCAAAGGCCGTCGCGCTTGTGTTGCCGTCACTGAAAGGGAAGCTCAACGGTATTGCTCTCCGTGTGCCCACACCCAATGTCTCCGTCGTGGACTTGGTGGTTCAGGTTTCCAAGAAGACCTTCGCTGAGGAGGTCAACGCGGCGTTCAGGGAGGCTGCTGACAATGAGTTGGCTGGTATTCTGGCGGTGTGCGACGAGCCTCTGGTGTCTGTTGACTTTAGATGCAGCGACGTGTCATCGACTGTTGACTCGTCGTTGACCATGGTTATGGGAGATGACATGGTGAAGGTGATTGCATGGTACGATAATGAATGGGGTTACTCGCAAAGGGTGGTGGATTTGGCTGACATTGTTGCAAATAACTGGGAGTGAGCCTCTCGATCCTTTCATTCAATCGTTTAATTGTTACCATTTCTTTTCAAGTTATCTACATTTTTGTTGCAAATATATATATATGAAATGTAATGTAATCAGAGATTGAAGTATTTGGAACAATGATTCTAATGCATAATAAGAGCATTCCCTGTGATGCTTTCACATAGAAGACATCTTTGTTTATTAAAGCTCGATGGGAGGTTAGTCTTTGTCCAAAGGAAAGAAAGAAGTGGTCAGTATCAAGCTGAAAGTAGGAGCTATATACATCACCTGAAAATCCCGATTGTTATCCATGACGTATGTGTTAAAAATAAAGAAAGACACAGTTGCAACATTTATAAAACTTTTAAATTGTTAAATATTTCAATAATATGTTATATTATAAAGGCATCATGTATACATGTATAAAACATGTACAAAAAATCTATGTTTTAGCGTTTATCAAGTTTTGAACGGATCAACATGCACACATGAAGATGATTATCACTAGAATCCATCAATCTGTGAAAACTTTCGAATACCTAGACAATTTTTCCAAAGGGAAATAATACCATCACAATTTCAATGTTTGAACAAAGAACAATGATTTCTTCGTCATCCAAAGCTCCAAAACTGGTAAATACCAAATACCTAACAAGTAAGCTTCTTATTTCATCACTTCGATATAATCTAGTTTGTGTTTGTGTGATGTTTGGTTGTTGATTATGGAAATATAATGCAACATGTGGTATCTAAGCGAATTTATAACATCATACACACATAGTATGCATCACATTAACCATGATCCCCAAACTTCAATTGATTGGATTGATCAAAATCAAATAATGGAAAATATGGAAAACCACATGATTGGTTTGGTTTTCATCAATCCTTTTGCAAGAACCACTATAAGATCCCATACTACACACAACTATAACACCATACAATGTGGTTTTCATGGAAGTTTTCGAAGAAAACAAATTAAAATTTGGAATTTTCAAGGTAGTTTTCGACTGATAGACAAATAAACATTTTGGCGTAGGGCTCCGTTGGATCACCCTATGGGTACAACCCAACAGGCAACTAGTTCACATAAGTAGTTTGTCACTATGGTGGGATTTTTTTTTTCAAATGATATCATAGGCTTTGTTTCAACTTAAACCAATCTCAATGTTGTTGTCACTATGGTGACATACGTTGGACCCAACTGCTAGTTGTGTGACAATGATGTATGTGATCAATCATTGAGCCTAATCCACATAAACATCACATTTGTGTCCAAAGGTGATGTCAAGTTGTAACGTCCCAAAATTTTTTAAGTAAAAATTTCATTTTAAGCAAGTCAAAACCATTTATTCATTATCCCAAAAGACGAACGTAATAAAAGTATTCACAAAACATCATAGTAAATTATAAATAGTCAATGCAGAATAAATCTCCAGGGGATGCAGTGCGATTAAGTCGGACCCTTCCTTTTGAAACCAGTAGAATCTGAAAACATTTTAAACATAAACTGTAAGAGCAATGCTTAATGAGTTCTCTAAAATACCACATACCAAACATACATAACAGCTCGAAACTAAATTGGGCCTATTTCACTCCTAAGTCTATTTTAACTCCTTCAATATCTTTCAGCCGGTATTCGGTCTATTTCATCCCCCGAGTCTATTTCAACTCATTCGGTGTCTTTCAATCGGTACTGGGTCTATTTCAACCCCTGAGTCTTTTTCAACTCCTTCGGTATCTTTCAACCGGTACTAGGTCTATTTCACCCCATGAGTTTATTTCAACTCCATCGGTATCTTTCAATTGGTACTGGGTCTATTTCACCCCCCGAGTCTATTTCAACTCCTTCGGTATCTTTCAACCGATGTTGGGTCTATTTCACCCCTATAGGTAAGCATACAATCATATCAAAAAGAGTCACAAAGATAACAAGCACATACAGGTATATCAGCAAGTGTCACAAAGACAATTATCATCCTACAAACATAATCCAGTGGGCCGACATTGGTGCCTACGACCTACGAGTATAGTGAAGAGACTCGCCTGAATAATTCAACAGAAGCCCAACAGCTACCTCAGCAACAGAACATCCAACCCAAGCTTCCTAAAGCCAAACCGAAACAAATACTTAGCCAAATGCTCAATTCTACTCAAGTTTGACCAAAAGCCAAACTGGTCAAAAAGTCAACGGTCAAAGTCAAAGTTAAAATTGCCAATCAGCAGCCCTCCCAGTCGTGGCCTTCCTTTGCCATGACGTGGGCACAAAATTCCAAAACAGTCGCTAACCCCCGAGTCGCCATGCCATGGCAGCCTAAGGCCACACCGTGGGGACTGGTCTGGACAACTCAAACGAGCTTAATCCATTTTCTTTTGAGTTTAAGAGTTCCAAAGCTCAGATATAATCCTTTCCAAGGTCTTAATGGATAAAGTTTCTAACTTTATCCATTAGGAAGGTCCAAACCACCAAGATCTAGACTTTAAGTCTCAAAGGGACCCAAAATGCATCTTCTCAACTTAATCCATTAAGTTTAAGTCTCCAAATTTCAGATCTGAATCAACAAGATGCCTAGATGGATAAAGTTTCCAACTATATCCATAATAATGCCACAATCTTCCAAGATCTAAACTTTAATACACCAAAATGACCTAAAGGACCAAGATAACTTGCATGACTAAAAAGAAAGGCAAAAGATCTTAACTTTCTTAGTCCATGGGGTCCAAGAAACATTCCAAACTGATCAAAATATGTTGGAGTCCACTTAACTCCAATATCACTCATAAAATGGACCAAAGGTTCCAAAACCCCCCAAGTGACAAGATCTAATGAACTAGATAGCAATATTGGAACTTTATACTCATAATGGTCCAGAAATGTAGTGTCTTTGATGGATCCAAACTTAAAGCATCATTCCTTGCAACCAAAAGAACCTTCTTGATCTTTAAGCTCCAACAAAATAACATAGAAATCATCCAAAAGAGGAGGTAGGAGAGAGGAGAAGCTCAAATCTTGAAGGTGGAGGCTAGGGTTTCTCTGAAGGGGTTATAGAGGTGATAGAGGCTGATAAAATGCCCAAAAATATGGAACATTAAGCTTAAATACGTTGAAAACCCTAAGAATCGTGGGCTTGGGTCTGACTGATCGCCACGTCGTGGGCTCTGATCCCCACACCGTGGCCACGACTTTTCACCCAAATCCATTTCAGCTTCAAACCACCATAACTTCTTAGTTTCAACTCCATTTTCGGTGATCTTTGTATCCACGAAAAGGTATTGACGATCCCCACACTTCTATCTAGTTAATATTGGCTTAACACATGTCGAACTAAAAACCGTAATCCACGCAAGAAGCCTAACATATAACTTTTCCCATTTTACCCTTTGGCTCCAAAACACAAACCAAGGGTTTAGATCATATAACCAATATAATCAACATCCAATATGGTCTAAACCCTATTTCCTTGAAGCCCAAAGCCTTTACTTGATCCATTTATTGCCCATAATCCCAAAATAATAAACTTCTCGAAACAGGATGTTACATAAGAGAGTAGCATACTTTTGTATATTACTTGTTTCATTATGTTTGGTTGATGTTTATACCCAACATGAAACTGGTTTGCAAGCAATACATTATCATAAACTATTATTAAGGTATTGCTAACCGATAATCTTTAGATATGCTTGTTGCTATAACTTATCCCTTATTGTATTTAGTCATTTTTATGCATGTTATTGATGTACACCATCTTTATTTACCGATGTATAGTTGGGTTTTTATTCAAAATAGTCCAATTTTAGTCTAAAAAATTAACGTAATTAACAACAGAAGCAATTTTGTTTGAATAAATGAAAACCATTTTATACCCACCAATTATCATTTTGCAAGAACTTAGAAATATTAAACATAACCATAACGGAAGAAGAAAGTGTAAAAACCTTTGAAGACTTTGGTTCCTTTTGGAAATTAGGAAGTTGATGAAGATGGATTTAAAACTCCAAGTAGAAGTTCTTTATAATGTATCCAACAAACAAGCTTTGAACCACCAAAATATGCTAGTGAACACTTGTCATAAAGTTGTTCTTAAGCTTTAAGACTTACACCAAATAAGTGTTTAAAGAGAAGAAACCTTAGAGCCTTCATTTCTAGCACCGAATGGAAGAAAGAAGAAGAAAGGGAGAACATGTAAAATCCAAATTTTGGATGCCATTTTTTAAGAGAAAAGTGAGTAAAACAACTAGTCGAAACTCATCTCTTAAGCCTTTCTTTTATACCAACATTAGTACAAAATGTGGACATAAAATAATAGAAGCATTGAGCTTTCTTACAAGCATGAAATGAGGTAATAAACAAATCAAAATGCATGTCTAATACCATCATTTCATATAGGTCAAAGGAGATAAAAATGATTTTTTTTTTACTTTATTCAACTAGCTGGTTACACATGTTAACTTGATGGTTACTCAAAGTGATAAAAAAATTTGTACATAACATTTAAATATATACATTATGTATGTTAAACTAGTTTTGTTCTCTTTATTATTATTTCCTAGAAATAATAATTCCCAAAATATTATTTTCACAAAGCTAATGTTTTTCCAATCAAATACAAGTGTTGATATATTTATTAATAATCAAATTATACTAATAAATAATCAATTAGTGGTAACTTGCTATAAGGTGCCGTCATATAGGATTATATGTTATTAGCAATATCATTATATAATGACTCTTGGGCATACAAGATCTTTCATGTATATGTTATTATAATTTATGATTTAATGTATTTAGTCACTTTTATGCATACATCTAATGTTTCTATAACCTAAGCAACTTTAACCACAAATGAAGGAATTGAACATTTGAATTGCATGGATTTCTCGACACAACGAAATAACATAAACTTGAATCTTTGAATAAATTATTTAGATCATGAATTGGATATTATTATATTGTTGCACTCGCTACTAGAATGGGAGCAATGAATCACATATCATTCATGATTGTTAAAAAAGTCCATGGTGTTATCTGTTCGTAAAGCATGATGTTGTGTTATATAAAATAATGTCAACTTGTGTAAGTTAGAGCTATAATAACCAATAAGAACAATCAGAAGTATTTGGGAA